CCAAAACGACGTCGTTTTGGGGGGCTGCTGAAACGGCCGCCGAGAAGGGCGGCCGAGAATCCGGACTCGTGCTGGGGGTGCCCCCACTGGGGTCCCTAGCACCACTGTTCATTATATCATATTTAGATGAAAGAGAATGTTCATATTATTTTTAATGGATTGTCAATTAAAAATATATTCATATCGGATGAGAAAAAATATTCACATTATTTTTAATTTGTTGTCAATTAAAAATATATTCACATTATATAATAATATAAAATAATAACATCAATTTTATTTAATTTGTGTATGAAATTTCCTATCCCTTTGTCATTTTCCTTCTCTCTCCTCCCTCAACATTAAATATCAATATTTAATATAAGGGCATAAGAGTTTGAGAAAAGGCATTTTTTTTAAGGTCCCTGGTATTATGATTTTATAGCATAAAAGACACTCAATATTTTTATAATGTCTAAGGTCCCTCAACATCCATCCAGAGAAAATTCGATCCAGAGAAAATTCAACCAGAGAAAATTCAATCCAATGAAATTCTTTGGTCCAAACCCAGAGAAAATTTAATTTAATCCAGAGAAATTCTCTGGTCCAAACCAGAGAAAATTCAATTCAGAGAAATTCACTATGGTCGAATTTTCTCTGAACTTCATAGAGAATTTCTCTAGTGACTTCACAGAGAAATTCCCAAATTTCTTTGACCAAATCACATACTCACTCCTGTGATTTTCTTTAGCCATCATCAGAGAAATTTCCCTCTCCAGAGAAAATTTCTCTGGCCTTCCTAGCCTTCCTTTCTCTCTAGAGAAATTTCCCTTCTCCAAACCCAAAGAAATTCACTCAAACCAGATAAATTCCCCAAACAAAGAGAAATTCGCAAAGAGATGGAAAGGTCAGTGTATACACAAAGTGCTTCCAAAAGAGATGTCAAAAAAATTGACTAATGTGAGTGAGCTCGGAGGAAGTGCCCATCAATAGTTCCATGATCCCTAATTCATGTGCCTCCAAGACCATCTGTAACTGGCTTATGATTCAGATAATGAATAACAACATCTTCAACCATGTTTAATCCACACAAAATAAATAAATAAATAATCATGACTCCTATATAAGAAAGTACCAATCACAAACTTAATCAGTAGGAAGTAGCAGATGAGCTTACCATGGTTGATTGAAGAAATCTGAACTTTTTTCGGCACTACGACTTGCTTCCCCTGCTACAAGCTTCAGATCCCTACTTTGAGATTCAACCAAAATATTTATGAATTCCACTGGCGATTGGCTGAACCCAAGAAAGAAGGATCATCTCCTACGGTGCCATCAACCAGCTAGCATGTACAAGAATAAACCCACGCCTCACCTCGAGCTGGAACGGAAATCAACAGCACCGCTGGACCACTACCATGCATGGCGGAACCACCGACCTAGAACAATGGAACCTGAATCCCCATATTTACCAGTTTGGACACCCAGACCAAACGAACCAAGATACACCGACCTCACCCGAGGTGTCATAGACACACTTCCGGAGCCATGGCTTCCCTTGTTGCTGCCGATGGTAAAATCCCAACTCTGCCCAGCTTTTTAGCCAGTAGTTCGTCGAACGAAGTGGCTTAAGAAGAGAAACAACAGTCAACGGGGCTGAATTTCTCTGTGATAGATGGAAGGGACCTTAGACATCAAAAAATAATATTGTGAATGTCTTCCATTACTAAAAATGGGAGATGGACTGTAGACTAATTTTCCCTTAAGAAAATAGTGTAAATAAAAAAATGATTTTATGGAATAAAAGTATAAATATGTGGGACTAAGTGGGTTAAAAAATTCATTCATGAACTTCTTAGGTTAGAACACTTCTAAATAGAATTTATTAATAAAAATCCTTTTTTAAAAAAGATAAATTACACGTTGCCTTTTTTATGTTTGGACACTTTCTCACTTTGACTTTTAAAATTTATTTTTTTTCACTTTGATCATTTTTATTTTAAGTTTTTTCAAATTTATTTCTAAGTTAACTTCTATTTAAAATCAAACAGAAAATAACACATTAACAGTCATATCACATAAAAATATTTTATTATATATAACTCACACCTCTGACACAAACTCAATTTCTAATATAATAATATATTTTTTATATTATATGGCAATTATCGTGATGTTTATTAAAATTATATTAAAAAAAATCTAACATTTTTAAAATGATAGAAACTTTCTTATTTTACTTGATTATAAAAAAAATAACAAAAATTATTGATGTTATCAAACAATTTAATTATTCTATCTAAAAAAATAATTTAATTACATTTTTAATTTTATTCTTTAAAATTGTATCTAATTATAAAGAAACAATAAAAAAAAATACAATTTATATTCTCTCTCTTTGTTGGTGATTGCGTGTCTCGTGTGTCTAAAAATATGTTTTAAATTGATTTTTTAACATGCTGCACATTCCACTTCTTCAAACTCTATTTTATTTTATTATCCTTCTTTACCACAAAACTCTACGGCAACAATTAGGAAAAACAATTTAAAACCGGTCTGGCGGGACCTGATTTCTCGTTTTTTATAAGAGTGATTTTTTTTTTTGAAAAATACTCTCAATGGGTCGAAGATGGTATTTAAAATTGAATCCCCAATCAAATTCGGGCCGGAGACGGAGATCACTTTCACAATTCCGGACCTGGCCTATCCCCAGCCCCGTTCCCCGCCCAGTTTCTCCCCGAAATAAAACCCCCTTCCCTCTAATCTATTATTTATCTCTTATCTATATTATCTCTGATCTTTCTCTCTTCTCTCACTCTCTCTCTTCTCTCCACAGACGCTACACAGTTGGCTCCTCCTCTCGTCGCCTCCTCCTTCTCCAGGCCACTGCCGCCTCTCCGTCGCTGCTTCCTCCTCTTCCTTCTCCTCCTCTGTCGCCTCTCGTGGCCTCCTCCCGTCACCTCTCGCGGCCGTCTTTCTCTGCCAGGCCACCTTTAGATCTGAGAAGATCCGTCGGCTCCTCCCACCCGCCAGATCTATCTATTTTTTTTTATTTTTTATTTTTTTGATAATGTTACTGTTGATGATGTTTTTGTTGATGAAAATGATATTGTTGATGATCGATGATATTGGTGTTGATGATCGATGATGTTGTTGATGATGATAAGCTAAACAGAGAGAGATAGTTACGGGGATTTTCTGGGGTCGGGGAAACCCGATCCCCATTGGCGAGGGGTGAGGGGTTCCCCGCCAGAAATTGGGGCCGGGAACAAGAAATTTTGTAGTTTCGGAAATCAGGGACAGGGAGGGTGATCCCCAGCCCCGCCCCACCATGTTGCCATTCCTAGCAACAATTCATACCCATGTTGACTCTCCATTGTACCCTTTCTTCTGGCTAATCAAAGCCAGCCACCACCACCTAATTATAATTCCCATTCACAATCAATCCTCCACCCAGTCACCACGCAACCATAATCTAGTCACCCAATTATTCAAGGAGAGGGTTCAAGAAAGTAGTTAGAAAATTCGAAGATCTTCGAAGATCAAATTTTGCCTTATGCGTTGTTAGGTTAACCATCATTAACGCTATGTTTGGATTGAGTGATTTGGAGAGAAAAGAAAAGAAATGGAGTGATATGTATTTCTCTTATTTGTTTAGATAACCTAAGTAGAGAGAAATGGGAAGAAATTGAGAGAAACTCATTTCTTTTATAAGTCTCGTTTTCAATCTTCCCAAAAGTGGAGAGATTGGGAGAGAAAAGAAACCACTATTTTTATAATACCAATTTTGTCCCTACAAAAATAAAAAAAATAAAATGATTGAAAATATAGAAAGGTTATTTTGGTAATATAATATAAAATAATTTCTTTTATTTTCTCTTAATGATATCTAACCAAACAAGAATGAGAGAAATCACAATCATTTCTTTTTTTTATTTCTTCCATACCCAAACAAAAAGGAAAGAAATCACAATCATTTATTTTCTTTTCTTTTCTCTTATTACTTAAGTAATCATTTCTTTTCTTTTCTCTTCTAAGCTCCAAACATAGTGTAAATTATTCAATTATTAACCTGGCATGTGAAACCTTAAACTTATAAATTTCTACAAATGAAAATGAATAAAAATTCAGTGAGTGCAGTTCAAGATTTAGAAATATACTCCTTTTAAATCTCAAGTTCAACACTATATTGTGACATGTTTATGTGATACTCCCGACGAATAAAATTGCACAAAAGAAACCTCATCTTTCATCACAAAAGTTTTAAAAAAAAAAAATTATGATGACCGTATACAGCATTCTCATATATTTTGTAAACTTTTTACATCTTTCAGAAGGTGTTATATGATTTCACTAAAAAATTTACTTTTTGACTAATAAGGTATTTAGTTTTATTTTTAAAAATTAAAGAAACTAATGTGCCTGAAAATTTTCTCTCTTTTTTTTTATTATTATTAGTGAAAAAGTTTTTTTTTTTTTTAAAACAAACAACTTTTGTGATCAGCTAAAAAGTAATTCAATTTTTCCACTACTATGGAGTATATATTAGATTTAATAAAGTCAAAAAAATCACATTAAAAAAAAGTAAATTGAGGTTTTTAAGCAAGTACTGCCAATTGAGCTGTGATTAACATTTTTCATGAAAGACTCCAATTCAATCCAACCTCAACAAAGTGAATTTGAACTAGATCAAAATACTCAATTTAAAAATAAATAAATAAATAAATAAAAACAATTACAACATAAATAAAGGCAATTAAAGAATAATTAAGAATATTGTATTGATTGATCCTAATGGTATAACAAATTTAGAGTAAGAAAATTCTCAAATCCATCTCCGCAAGAACAAATCAATATCTCAATAAAGAACGATAGTTTCGAAACAGTTGACGCCATCCAACTCCGGTGCGAACCTGGGTCTTCTCTGCTGCTTTCCTTCTTCTTTGCTTTTGTTCGAACTCTCTTTCACAATCATCGGCGAAGAAGTTTTCTTGCGATGATCCACCGCCGACGAATCTAAATCTACCTTCCTTGCTTTCGCCCACGAAAATCCGACTTTCTGGCCCAAGTATTCGGCGCACAAGGCATCGAATGAACTGAAAAGCGACATCGACATAGCTAATTCAAAGGATTGATTGATTGATTGATTGATCGATCGATCAACAGATACAAAAGTTGAAGAAGATTCAGATTGTTGTTGTTTGAAGCTCTGATGAGAAAGGGGGTATATATAAGGAGGATTGGGGGGTGAATTGGAGAAGTGGGTGGAAGTTTCTGGAGAGAGAGAGTTGGCGACCTAGTCCGAACAAAGAGTGGATTTATTCTGCTATCTGACGCGTAATACCACGAAGCTTCTTTTTCTTCTTCTTCTTCTTCTTACGCTATTTGACAGTTTTGACTTCGCTTCTGGAGGCATAGACCTGGAACCTAACCTATCAAAATAAACTATTATGCTCCGTTTGAAAACGTCAATTCTATGATAAATTATAATTCAACAATAATTCATCCCACTAAAAATATCACCACTAATAGCACTAATGTATTAAAAAAATATCACCACTAATAGCACTAATGTATTAAAAAAGTAAAAAAAAAAAAAAATTACAACTCCAAGACCAAAACATCACATCATTAATGGCGGAACCCACTGCCACCTAATTAGTGGGAGCACTAATTAGTGCTCCCAAGCATTTTTCATTATAATTATAATTACCTCCACTAATATTTAGGAAAATGTCTCGTAACTCAAATTTTATGGCTCAAAAGTGGCTCAAATGGCCAAAACGACATCGTTTTGACCATTTTTATGTTGTTTTGTACTCAAAACGACGGCGTTTTGGCCATTTGAGTCACTTTTGAGCCACAAAATTTGAACTACGTAGCATTGTCGTAATATTTATTAAAATTCTAACATTTTTATGAGGCAACTTTTTTGATAAGTCCTCTGTATAAGGGTTTTATTTCATCTAACTCATATTCTTTTTAACTATTTTATTATACAATAAAGCTTGAGACCCTCAACCCGAGTGTCACGTGGCACCGCGTGATTGGAAGGAAAGAAAAAATATATATATATAATTTTTTTTTGGCCTACTGGGGGTGCCCCCACTGGGGTCCCTAGCACCACTGTTCATTATATCATATTTAGATGAAAGAGAATGTTCACATTATTTTTAATGGATTGTCAATTAAAAATATATTCATATCGGATGAGAAAAAATATTCACATTATTTTTAATTTGTTGTCAATTAAAAATATATTCACATTATATAATAATATAAAATAATAACATTAATTTTATTTAATTTGTGTATGAAATTTCCTATCCCTTTGTCATTTTTCTTCTCTCTCCTCCCCCAACATTAAATATCAATATTTAATATAAGGGCATAAGAGATTGAGAAAAGGCGTTTTTTTTTTAAGGTCCCTGGTATTATGATTTTATAGTATAAAAGACACTCAATATTTTTATAATGTCTAAGATCCCTCAACATCAATCCAGAGAAAATTCAACCAGAGAAAATTCAATCCAGTGAAATTCTTTGGTCCAAACCCAGAGAAAATTCAATTTAATCCAGAGAAATTCTCTGGTCCAAACCAGAGAAAATTCAATTCAGAGAAATTCACTATGGTCGAATTTTCTCTGAACTTCATAGAGAATTTCTCTAGTGACTTCACAGAGAAATTCCCAAATTTCTCTGACCAAATCACATACTCACTCCTGTGATTTTCTCTAGCCATCATCAGAGAAATTTCCCCCTCCAGAGAAAATATATCTGGCCTTCCTAGCCTTTCCTTCTCTCCAAAGAAATTTCCCTTCTCCAAACCCAAAGAAATTCACTCAAACCAGATAAATTCCCCAAACAAAGAGAAATTCGCAAAGAGATAGAAAGGTCAGTGTATACACAAAGTGCTTCCAAAAGGGATGTCAAAAAAATTGACTAATGTGAGTGAGCTCGGAGGAAGTGCCCATCAACAGTTCCATGATCCCTAATTCATGTGCCTCCAGGACCATCTATAACTGGCTTATGATTCAGATAATGAATAACAACATCTTCAACTATGTTTAATCCACACAAAATAAATAAATAAATAATCATGACTCCTATATAAGAAAGTACCAATCACAAACTTAATCAGCAGCAAGTAGCAGATGAGCTTACCATGGTTGATTGAAGAAATCTGAACTTTTTTCGGCACTACGACTTGCTTCCCCTACTACAAGCTTCAGATCCCTACTTTGAGATTCAACCAAAACATTTATGAATTCCACTGGCGATTGGCTGAACCCAAGAAAGAAGGATCGTCTCCTACGGTGCCATCAACCAGCTAGCATGTGCAGGAATAAACCCACGCATCACCTCGCGCTGGAACGGAAATCAACAGCACCGCTGGACCACTACCATGCATGGCGGAACCACTGACCTAGAACAATGGAACCTGAATCCCCATATTTACCAGTTTGGACACCCAGACCAAACGAACCAGGATACACCGACCTCACCCGAGGTGTCATAGACACACTGCCGGAGCCATGGCTTCCCTTGTTGCTGCCGATGGTAAAATCCCAACTCTGCCCAGCTTTTTAGCCAGTAGTTCATCGAACGAAGTGGCTTAAGAAGAGAAACAACAATCAACGGGGCTGAATTTCTCTGTGATAGATGGGAGGGATCTTAGACATCAAAAAATAATATTGTGGATGTCTTCCATTACTAAAAATGAGAGATGGACTGTAGACTAATTTTCCCTTAAGAAAATAGTGTAAATAAAAAAATGATTTTATGGAATAAAAGTATAAATATATGGGACTAAGTGGGTTAAAAAATTCATTCATGAACTTCTTAGGTTAGAACACTTCTAAATAGAATTTATTAATAAAAATCCTTTTTTAAAAAAGATAAATTACACGTTGCCTTTTTTATGTTTGGACACTTTCTCACTTTGACTTTTAAAATTTATTTTTTCTCACTTTGATCATTTTTATTTTAAGTTTTTTCAAATTTATTTCTAAGTTAACTTCTATTTAAAATCAAACAGAAAATAACACATTAACAGTCATATCACATAAAAATATTTTATTATATATAACTCACACCTCTGACATAAACTCAATTTCTAATATAATAATATATTTTTTATATTATATGGCAATTATCGTGATGTTTATTAAAATTATATTAAAAAAAATCTAACATGTTTGCTATTGGATGTACCACATATGACTGTTTACTGTACTGAGCAACTGAATTACTGATTGAAATGAACTGTTTTCATTACTGTAAGGACATTTCATTCATAACCCCTTTACGCATTATGTTATTCACTGGGCTTTAGCTCACTGCTCATATATATATGTAGGTGTGCAGGCACCAGACCGCAGCTAGAGGCGTCAGGGTTACTCCAGTTTTGTCAAGCCAGCCTTTGTGCCTCACTGCGAGGTTCCGAGCCTACTGTTAAGGCTTAGGGGTGTTTTAGAATTTCCCCCTTTTTGTACTGTTTCACTGTTTTGTATAGACTGACTGTTTACTGTACTGTTATACAGGGATTAGGTCCCTGTACTGTGTGACTGTTAATTTTGTATACTGTGTTGTACAGACGGAATGTTTTCTGTACTGTTATGTGGGGTTGAGTCCCTAGTTAAGTGGATGTAAATATTGTACTTACTGTTCTGTACTGTTTATGTGTGAATGTATGAATAGCCTTTTTGCATACAGACTGTCACAGCTCAATGGACACTATTTATTTACTGTATTGGCTTCCGCCAGGCCCTGTACTCTGTCTTTACTGTATTACTGTTAAGCAGGCCTTCGGTAATCTCGGATTACTGGCCGGTTACGGTGCTAAACCCATAGGGCCGGGTTTGGGTCGTGACAGGGGGGGCTGTTGGGACGGCCGCCGAGAAGGGCGGCCGAGAATCCGGGCTCACAATTGGGGAAGGCAATTTAAAACTGGCGTGACAGGGACCTGATTCCTCGTTTTTGATAAAAGTGATTTTTTTTTGAAAAATACCCCCGATGGGTTGGAGATGGTATTTAAAATTGAATCCCCAATCAAATTCGAGCCGGGGACGGGGATCACTTTCACAGTCCCGGACCTGGCCTGTCCCCGGCCCCGTTCCCCGCCCAGGTTCTCCCCGAAATAAAACCCCCCTCCCTCTAATCTATTATTTATCTCTGATCTATATTATCTCTGATCTGTCTCTCTTCTCTCACTCTCTCTCTTCTCTCCACAGACGCTACACGGTTGGCTCCTCCTCTCTTCGCCTCCTCCTCCTCCAGGCCACTGTCGCCTCTCCGTCGCTGCTTCCTCCTCCTCCTCCTCTGTCGCCTCTCGTGGCCTCCTCCCGTCACCTCTCGCGGTCGTCTTTCTCTGCCAGGCCACCTTTAGATCTGAGAAGATTCGTCGGCTCCTCCCTCCCGCCAGATCTATCTATTTTTTTTTATTTTTTATTTTTTTGATAATGTTACTGTTGATGATGTTTTTGTTGATGAAAATGATATTGTTGATGATCGATGATATTGGTGTTGATGATCGATGATGTTGTTGATGATGATAAGCTAAACAGAGAGAGATAGTTACGGGGATTTTCTGGGGTCGGGGAAACCCGATCCCCATTGGGGGGCGGGGGCGGGGGCGGGGGGGTGATGGGTTCCCTGCCAGGGAGCCAAGGATTGGGGCCGGGAACAAAAAAGTTTGGAGTTTCGGGAATCGGGGATGGGGAGGGTGATCCCCGGCCCCGCCCCACCATGTTGCCATTCCTAGCAACAATTCATACCCATGTTGACTCTCCATTGTACCCTTTCTTCTGGCCAATCAAAGCCAGCCACCACCACCTAATTATAACTGTCATTCACAATCGAAAAATGCTTGGAAGCACTAATTAGTGCTCCCACTAATTAGGTGGCAGTGGGTCCCGCCATTAATAATGTGATGTTTTGGTCTTGGAGTTGTATTTTTTTTATTTTTTTATTTTACTTTAATAGTGATATTTTTAATAGAATGAATCATTGTTGTTCACAATCAATCCTCCACCCAGTCACCACGCAACCATAATCTAGTCACCTCATATAACTTGCCCCCACCACTACATCAGGCAAATTAAGGAACAATTGTTTCAAATAATGCCCCGACCACTATGTCACGTAAATTAAGGAGCCATTGTTGGACAGAATGTCTTTGATTTTAAGGTAAATTATAAATAAATATTTTGAGATTTGATTAAAATATAAATTATTTTTTATGATTTTAAAAATTACATATTACATCTGAAGTTTTTAATTTCGTAATAAATTATCTATTTTATTAATAAATTAAGTCAATTAACAATTTTTAATGATATTGAAAATATATTTTAATTAATAATTTGGATAATTGTATTATTGTATAGGAGAACAATTATGAATTTCATTTTTTTAGTTAATTCTGCTAAAAATAATTCTGATAAGGGGATATTAGTATTTTTTCAAACTATAAGAGACAATCTGTATTTTAAGCACATCTCAAAGAATGTATTTGTAATTTACCTTGATTTTAAATTCAAATGTATTTATGGTAGGTTTCTACAAAAAGTTAAAATTTTCAAAATAAACAAGTAAAACGAGGTGAAAAAGGTATTATGTGTGTTTGGTTTGAGTTTTTGGATTAAATTTTTTTTAAATTAAGTTTTTTGTTTTTCATGTTTTTTTGTTTTTAAAATTTTAAACATTTTTTTTTTACGTTTTTAGATGCACCTTACTTAAATATATCTAAAAAGTAAAAAATTTGTGAAAAAATATTTTTAAAAAATAATAAATACATAAAAATATGAAAAATATACTGAATTCTCGTTTTTTTTCTTTTTTTTTTTGTATTTTTGGTATTTAGTAAATTTTTAAAAGATTTTTTCACAAAAATTATACTTTTATGTGTATTTATGTTAGGTGTATTTAAAAAAATGCTTAAAATATTTAAAAAATTCAGTAAAAATAAAAAAATACGAAAAATAAGAAAGTAGATTTTTCTGAAAAGTATTTTTGAAAAACTAAAAACAAGCAATATTTTTTAAAATATTTTTTGTGATATGAGCTTTTGATCCTAAACATTATTGTTTAATTAATGAAAGATAAGGTAGTGAGAGAAAAGGATTTTATTGAACTCCAAAAATCTTTGATGTTTGAATTGTTTAAGCTTACCACAAATTGGCGTCACTTATTAATTAGTTAAGCTCCAAAGTCATTGATATAAGGTTATTGAGTTCCATGTATTCTTTCATGGTTAGATTGTTCAAGTATAAGGATATCGTATACCACAAATTGGTATCACCTACCAATTAGTTAAGCTCCAAACTCATTTGGCAATAGATCATTGTGCACACAAATTGGTGTCACCTACTAACTAGTAATGTTTTAAACTCATTGACTTATAAGGGTATTGTGTACCACAAATTGGTGTCACCAACTAATTAGTTATGCTTCAAACTCATTTAGCAACAAGGTCATTGTGTAGCCACAAATTGATGTAAGTTGCTAATTTGTTATGCTCTAAACTCATTGAGAATTGAGTGATGTTATAAAAATATAAATATAACATATCATAATTGTTAAATAGAATGATGTGATTTATTGTATTCTTTTTATTTAAAATACAAAGCTCATTCTTATAATCATAATTTACAAATATACTACCATCATATCAATGTGAAAATAAATTTTGTATCATTTTGTGACACCATATAATGGGCCCATTTGAGGCATTATTTTTCTATCATTAGAAAATATAAACTAAACACAATCTTTTTTAACTTTCAAATTATCAATTTTTTCATATTATTTAAATTATTTTACTTCACAATCTATAAATAAAATTGCACGTCTGATACAAATTTTCAAAACATATATATGAGGAGAAAAAAAAAACTTTAAGTAACTCTAAAAACTACACCAAACACTCATGAATTTTTTAGCCAAGTAAAGTTACATTACACAAATGTCAAATTGTGTACGAAATTGTACAAAGATCCAGAACAAATAATTTTACGATATTGTTAACAAGTATTTCATGAGCATTATTAATAAAATTTAAAATAATTATATATTGGGTAAATTACATTTACCTCTCCTGAGGTTTCTGACAAATACAGGGACCTCCCCTGTGGTTTCAATACAGAAACCTCCCTTACTTTAACTGACAATATCAAAATTCCACCAATCCGTCAATTTTGCACAAACAACGTTACTTACCTATACAGAATGACCATATCACCCTTTAAATTAAGTGTGAAAAGACAAAAATACCCTACAAAATATCCCTTTTCACTCTTTGAAACCAGAGTCCCTTTTTCCTTTTTGAAACCAGAGTCACCATCCATTAACTTCTGTTTCTTTCTTCTTTCACTCTCTCCTTCTCTCTCAACCCAACCCAACAGTGCCTATTTTCTTGGTATCCGACTCCGATTCCAACAAGGAGACCATTGACGACGAGATCTTCCTTCTCTATCTTCCTAACAATGAAATCAAACCCTACTCTCTCTCTTCTCTCTCTCTCTCTCCCTCCTTCCCTCCCAACCCAACCCAACACCATGGCTCTGCCCATTACGCCACTCCCCTGCATAAGCATCCCCTGTATAAAACTTATAAACTCCATAACCATGCCGGAGGCCTTGCCGATGCTGTCCTCGAAACTGACTACCTCTCGCCCAGCTCTCAATCCCATACCCATCATACCTCCCATCAACCTAACCTCCTTCATACCTCCTATTCACAAAGTAATTGTACACTTCACTCCCATTACACCTCCCTTTGTGAAACTCTCCTTCATAGAAATCACCATTGCTATAAAATTCAACCCCTTCTCTTACAATTCGTTTCGATTTTTGGTCTTTTTTCGTTAAAATCGACTCGCTGATGAACCATTGGACCGGTTTGTGGTTGTTCTGCGAGAACCCAAGTCGCTTGAAGAGAATCAAAAAGCTTTGGTGAATCAAACCCTTGTTTTTGCCAGCGAAAAAGAGAGCGATGACGATGAAAATTAGGGCTAAGAGGAGCTTTTTCGAGGTGGGTATGTCGTCTCTACCGAAATAGAGGAAGATGGTGTAGAGAGAGGGGGAGATGAGGGCGAGAATCGGGGCAAACCGGCGAGAACGGCAACGAATTGGGAATGAACTGGGTTTGTGTGGCTTTTGAACTGGGTTTGTGGGGCTTTTGTTCCTCTATGTCTTCTTCGTCTGGTTTGATCTCGTTTACGGAAGATGGGGTTTGGATTGGGTTTTGTGGAAAATTCTTTAATTAGCATTTTAGTGCATTATGGGCATTATGGGTATTTTAGTGCTTACATTAGATGACATCAGCAAGGTCTGTTAGGTATATAAACGGCTGTCAAATTTTGGGGGAATCTTGATATTGTCAGGTAAAGTAGGGGAGGTTATTGTAATTATTCAAATCACAAGGGTGATCTTTGTATTTGTCAGAAACTTCAAGGGAGATAAATGTAATTTACCCTTATATATTTTTATAACAAGTACTCTCATAAAAATGTATACTAAATTTATTCAGAAACGAAATCCAAAACTTTAAATAAAATTTCCCTTGCCATGAAAAGTGGATTAATGGTGTGTATTTATTTTAAAACAATACTACAAACTCACTTGTATTGATTCAGAATTTATTCAGAAGAAAAAAAAGAAAAAAAAAATCAATGACTCAAATTCATTTTATATGTAGACTTCACATTTCATCAATTCAATTTTTACCACACAAATACATTCAGGATAAATTCAAAATTAGTAAGGATGAATTCCTAACATTTTTCTTTATTTTAACTTTTTATTGTGAAACCAAACTTTGAGCGAATTTAAGCCATAAATGAAGAAATAAATAAATATAATAAATTAACGCTCTATTTATTTTGACGTAAAATATTTTGTTAAAAATATTTTATTAATTTTTTGTTGTTTGGTTGAATAAAATACAAGTAAAACATTTTTTTAAGAAATATTTTTTTTTATTATTTTTTTAAAAATGACTTACTTTAAAATTTTCATATTATTACATTTTTAACACATTTAGCCATTTTTAAATAAATATCTTAACTTACTAAAAAATCATAAATAACACTTTATTGAATCAAAAAAATTTCTTTTAAATAATAAAATATTTTTATTTTAAGTGTTAACTAAATCTCAAAAAATAAAAATAAGGGGTTGTTTGGGATGTCCTAAATAAGTGTACTTTTTATCTTTTTGGACTAAAAAATTGAGAAAAAAAATATGGATGTTTGGGTTAAACTTTTTGACTTTTATTGAAAACATGTGTATTAAAAAATTGTAAAAATTGATTTGTAGGGAAAATTAAGATTAGAGTGTGCAGCCGTAATTATTGACTTTTGGTGAATAGTGTTAACTTTTTAATTTTTTGAGTAACTTTTTGACTTTTTCTTTTCTTCCCAAACTTGGCCTAAAAATATTTTTTTATATAAAATTAATTTATAAAAAAATATTTTTTATATAAAATATTTTAAGTCGAAATAAGCAGAAGTTAGAATGGGTAGAGGGATCAGAATGCTGCAAGGAAAAGTCAATAGATTGCAGCTTTTCAGCCGTGGTCAATATTTGAATGCTGATTTTGACCCTTTTTCATATTTAGTCCATCAATTAAAAAAAACCCAAATACTTTTCAATCTTCCATGAAGCCAGCCATCAAGTTGTCAAAAGGAACGGTTTTCTCATTCCATGACTTCCCATCCTTCGCACTCAAAGAAATGTTGTTTTGTTGCAACTTAACGTATTTTATTTTTTTTTCAAAATATCAAAGAAATAGTCAATGGGAAAAGTATTCTCAATTCAGTTGAAGTTCTATAAAATATTTCAGCATACATGCGTGGAGTAGATAAAAAAATTTCCAAGTCACAAAAGTTTTCATTAAAAAGACCATTTTGGACCCGCTCTTTTCCTCTGCAAATCACCCCATCGCCGCACCTCCTTCAACAGCTATTCTAAGGCCTCGTTTAGGAATAGATTAATTTAATAATTTTTTAGATATTTGGCTAAAATATGAATTAAAAAAAATAGTATGTTTGAGATGATTTTTTAACTTTTTACGAAAAGATGTGCAAAAAGTAGAGGAAAAAGAGAATCTTTAACTTTTAGTATGTGAGAGGGTAATTTTTGGGAAAATTGGGCCGAACTTCGAGTTTGGTTTTGAGGCCCAAAACGCAGTGGACTAGGTAAAAAGGCCGTTCAGAATACTCCGGCCCAGAAGGGCAAAGTTACTCCGGCCTTGGGAAGACAAAGCTACTTCGGCCCAAGGAGGCAAAATTACTCCGGCTCAAGAAGAGATCGTTACTTCAGCCCGAAGAAGAGTAAAGCTACTCCGGTCTGGATGCAATTCACAGTTAGGCCAGTCTCAGAGTTAGCAACTTAACGTATTTTTTTTTTTTTTTCAAAATATCAAAGAAATAGTCAATGGGAAAAGTATTCTCAATTCAGTTGAAGTTCTATAAAATATTTCAGCATACATGCATGGAGTAGATAAAAAAAATTCCAAGTCACAAAAGTTTTCATTAAAAATACCATTTTGGACCCGCTCTTTTCCTCTGCAAATCACCCCATGGCCACACCTCCTTCAATAGCTATTCTAAGGCCTCGTTAGGAACAGGTTAATTTAGTAATTTTTTAGTTATTTTGCTAAAATATGAGTTAAAAAAAATAATATGTTTGAGATGACTTTTTAACTTTTTACGAAAAGATATGTAAAAAGTAGAGAGAAAAGAGAACCTTTAACTTTTTAGTATGAATTGTTGATTTTTTGACTAATTTAATAACTTTTTAACTAATAGAAAAGATCAAGGCCTAATCCCTCCACCTCCATTGTTAGATGGGTTAGGTGATGACAACATACCGTAGTGTAAAATCGCATCAAGGGAGTTATTTTATTAAGACTCCTAACGAAGGTATAAAGGAGAAAGTACACATTGGCAAATAGCCGATCTATACCAAAAATTTAAGGCGCAGGGCTGACTAACCCACTCCAAGTCAATGGACTTTGATTTGTCAATTACTTGAGCTCAAATCAGGATAATTAGGAAAAAAAACTAGCTTATTAACTTATTCAAATTATACCACTTCTTTACTTTTTTTTTTTTTTTGTACGTAGCGTAAATCATAAACCTTAACCATGGCTTTCCAGTGAGGTCCATGAGCTTTGATTGGTCAATGACTCAAGCTCAGACCCGACCATATATCCTATATCTAAATCCCAAACCTTACACATGGCTTCAAAACTTTGAAGTGCATCACAACAATTATACGTGGATATCGAATCATAAAAAATAAAAGGAATAATAGCACTTTTCACTGCTCTAATTTAATCTAAATTTTACTTTAGTTCTTATTATTTTAATTTAAAATTTTTGGTCCTTACACTTTAAATCTAATTTTAATTTGATTTTTTTATCTAAATTTCTATTAATTTTGTTTGCATACATACCTTAGAAAATTCACAAGTATCTCTAAATTATTAATTTTAACCTTCAATTTGAAGGGAGTAAAAAAATTGAAACTACACTTGAAGAGTAAGAACCAAATTGTTCAATTTGAAATTATAGGAACTGAAATAGAATTTAAATCAAATTATATGGATAAAAAATATAATGAACCCAAAATAAAATTAAACTTCGCTTACTAGGAGCATCTCCAACGGTTCACCTAATTTTATATCAAATTTGAGTAAAAAAATGATCATTTTCTCAATCTGATACAGAATGCTCCAATGATTGATTTTCATCAAATCTGCTCCAGGGACAATCAGTTGGTCGACCGGTAAGGCAAAAAAAAAAAAATTTTTTGAATTGTTTGAACCTACCTATTTGAACTGTTTGAACCTTTTAGTGGTCGACCGTTAAGGCAAAAATATTTTTTTTTTTGAATTGTTTGAACCAATCCATTTGAACTGTTTGAACCTTTTAGTGGTCGACCGGTTGGTCAACCGGCCGGGCAACCGGCTGGTTGTTCGGTTCCTCTCCTCCAACGGTCAGGAACAATAATTTGCTGAAATCTGCAGCTTATTCTCAGTTTGATGATTTTTTTGTTGAATTCTCATTTTCATATCAATTTGGTGAAACGATTGGAGCACCAAAAAGTATTTTTTTCACCAAAATTTAAATTTGATGCCAAGTTTAATTCACCGTTAGAGATAGTCTAAAGTACATAATTACACCTATTATAATTTGTTATTTAATTGCATGTATTTTTAAACCTCGTGCAAATATAATTGCTAATTTCATTGTTAACGTGCCACTCCATTTTTGTTTTTCAATCGTAATTTCATTGTTTTACCAAAAATACATATATAAACATAATAATATTGCCATATAAATTCAAAAATTAAACTTAATTTTCAAGTATAGTGATGTAAGAATTAATTAGAATATCTACGACAATATTCTCTCTCATATCTCTTCTAGTCATCAACTCATCATATCATTTGAATATCATTGAGTCTAGAAATTAGATCTTAAAAGTGGACTTGTATATCATTTTCCTAATAAATTAATAAAACAATAAAGTAAAGAAGAAAAAAATGAGATTAACTTCTTTACGGCTTTGTCGTAAAATCTTTATTTACGAATGATAAAGTGTGTGTGTGTGCGCGCGCGCGTGTGCGTGTGTGTGTGAGAGAGAGAGAGAGAGAAGTATATAAATTATATTAATGAATGTATACAATACAATAGGAATAGTATGTATATATAGGCCAAGAAACCTAAGCAGTATAGGAATAGATAAGTATAAAAGATATACACATCTAATATACACCTAACACCCCCCTCCTCTCAAGCTCAATGTGATAAGGCAGATATCAACTTGAGCTTGGAGAGAAGATTAGAGAAGCGTCCCGAAGGATGAGTTTTGGTGAAGAGGTAGACAGCCTGATCAACCAAAGTAACAAAGAAAAGATAAACATTGCCACTGGTAACATGTTGTCGTATGAAGTGGCAATTTATCTCAATATGCTTAGTGCGATCATGGAAGACATCGTTATGTGTAATCTGAATAACACTTTGGTTGTCACAATAAAAATTGGTGGCAGCAGATTGAGAAACTCTCATATCAAAAAGAAGCCAACGAAGCCACACCAGTTCCTAAGTTGGGTCAGCAAGAGCACGATACTCAGCCTTGATACTGGAACGAGCAACAAGAGTTTGCTTCTTGCTATGCCAGACAATGAGAGAGTTGTCTAAGAAGAAGCAAAACCCAGTAGTGGAACTGCGATCAGTAGGATTCCCTGCCCAATCTGCATCAGAAAATGCATGTAGCTGTAGAGAAGACTGAGCGGAGTAGTGAAGACCATGAAACAGAATGCCTTTGAGATAGCACAAAATGCGAACCAGAGCATCATAGTGTAAATAGAGGGGAGCAGCCATGAATTGACTGACAATGTGAACAGCATAAGCAATATCTGAGCGAATAATCGTGAGATAGACAAGATTGTCAACTAGTTAACGATATTAGTGGCATTAGACAATAGGGAACCGTCAAGGAGTGTAAGACGAGTTTGAGGATCAACTGGAGTAGTGGCAGTCTTGCAATCGGTAAGGCCATTGGCCTAGGTAAAAAAGTAACCAGATGGATCTTGAGAAATTTTCAAGCCAAGGAAGTAGCTGAGCAAACCCAAATCTTTCATCTCAAACTAGTGACTGAGAAACTGTTTGAGACTAGAAATACCTACTATCTCATCCTTAGTAACAATTATATCATCCACATAGAGGAGAAGGAGAATAGTACCACGCTCCGTCTTACGTATAAACAAGGCAGAATCATGGGCATCGAAAAAAAAGGCAAAGTCACGAATGATATAGCTGAACTTGGCAAACCAACACATAAATACAAAGCACGATAGAGTTTGCAGACTTTGTTTGATGGAACAGAAGAATCAGGAGGAGGTTGCATATAAACTTCTTTAATGAGATCACCATTAAGGAATGCATTCTTGATATCCATCTGATAAAGATTCCAGTGGCGAGCAGCAACCACTGCAAGTAAGCTGTGAACGGAAGTAAGACGAGCAACAGGAGCAAATGTTTCCTCGTAGTCAATGTTATACTCTTGAGTAAACCCCCGAGCGACAAGGCGAGCTTTGTAACGCTCAATGGAACCAACAGAATGAGTTTTGATCTTGTAAACCCATTTGCAACTAATAATACTCTTACCAAGAAGAAGATCAACCACATCCCAAGTATGAGTTTTATCGAAAGCCTGCAGTTCATTAGTCATAGCTTGTTGCCAAAAAGGGTTAGAACAACCTTCTAGATAAAAAATAGGTTCATGAGAGGAAAAGGCGTTGGAACCAACAACATAATCATGTTGAAGAACAGAAGGTTGCCTTACCCATGTGGAATGACGCTCTGGTAGATAAGGAACCTCAATGGGAGGTGGAGATTGAGGAACCTCCATAGTTGTTGGAGAAGGCTAAGGCCATCAGCAGACACAGGATCCTCAGGATGGACGATAGGCATAGACAGCTGTGGAAGCATGGAGTTAGAATCTGCACCAAATTCATTAGAAAACAGGTCTATAGAAATATTAGTAAAGATCGGTGAATCAGTGGACTGTGGTAGGTGAAACTTGGAAAGATTTGAGAACATTTTGTGTTCCCAAAACACCACATGACGAGAAATACGAGGTCGCTGAGAGATAGGATCCTAACAACGATACCTTTTATGTTCTATACCATACCTTAGAAAACAACAAAGACGAGAATGAGGTATTAGTTTAGTGTGTTTATGAGGCTGAAGTTGAACAAAATAAGCAGAACCAAAAGCTTTAAGAATGGTATAGTCAGGAGAAGAACCATACAAGCGCTCGTAAGGAGAAGTATTAGCTATGATAGGTGTAGGTACATGATTTATGGTGTGGATGGCAGTGAAGGCAGCTTCCCCCCAAAACTGTTAAATAAAAAAAGATGAAATGAGAAGAGTCCGGGTAGTGTCTAACATATGATGGTGCTTCCTTTCGGCTCATCCATTTTGTTGGGATATGCCTACACAAGATCGATGAGATAGTGTACCATTAGCCCAAAGAAAAGAAAAAAATTCATAATCCAAGTACTCCTTAGCATTATCAGAACAAAAGATTTTAATAGTACAAGAAAACTGAGTGCAGACCATGGCAGAAAAATCATAATAAACTATTTAAGTTCATATCGGTTTTTGAGAAGAAAAAGGCAAGTATAACGAGAAAAATCATCAACAAAATCACAAAATATCTTGAGGCTAAAGAAGAAGTGAGTAAAATGTTTTAAAAAATTTAGAATCAACAGAGGTAATTTAGGCCTAAAATTTAGGGCAAATTACACTGGCAATCCTTGTAGTTTGCCCTCAATGTAATTTTAGTTCCTGCAGTTTCAATTGACTCGATTTTGTCCTTGAATTTTGAATGTTGTATCACTTTGGTCCAATAGATAACGGGAGTTAGATTTTCTGATAGAAACTAAACACTTAAGCTGCACATGATTTACTTTTAAGGGCAAAATAGTCAATTCATCCTAAATAATAAAAAAAAACTCAATGAGTTAGCCCAGTTTGAGTTAACTCACCGATTTATCTATACGTATGTATATATATGTAAGAGAGAGAGAGAGAGAGAGAGAGAGAGAGAGAGATGGTGTACCTGTTCTTCGGCTCATCAAATCTTAAAGCCTACCCTTAAGCTCCGGGCCGTGGCGTCCACCACTCCGAGAATTGACAAACACAACGAGGGGAGATTTCAAGGGTTGGGCGGCCTCACTAGGGACAGCGGTGGAGGCATAGTGATGGTTGCCGATAGTGACATCGTTCGATTCAATCGCATCCGTATCGCTAGCCAAAGGTATTGGGGTATCATAATCTTCAGCCACAGTTCCTCCTTCGGAATCCATATCCCAGCCAATGTGTACCTCCTGATCAAGTCAATCACAAACGATCGACCCATACTCTAACTCGTAACCTACTTCGCCAAATCCATAGTTCATTTTCTCTCTCCTCCTGTGCGGGGGTGATTTCCGCACCATGAAGAAGGGTTGAACTTCATGGATGAACAGCATGATCTAGGAATTGAAGATCTGCACAAAGTAACAAACAGTGAGGCTGCCCGACCAGGGTTTGGTCGGAAACCCCTCCGATGGTAAAGTCAAGGACTCAGGAAAATCAAGAAAAGAGAATACAAAGGGTGTATATATGTTAAGTGTGTGGATTTTTTTGGATCCCTTGAGGGTGAACAGTGCTCACCTTTTATAGGAGAAGGTTGATTGTCCTCCAAGACCTTCTCTTTCCTCCATCTATCCAATGTGTCTTATCTGTGGTCGTCTCCCATTGGAGGAGGACGACCACTCCACCTGACACTAGGGTGCTGGTCTGTTTTGTTTGTCTCATTAGTGGACATCTCTCATTGAGGGAGGACGACCACTCCGCCTAACATTCAAATGTAGGTCTATCATGTGTGTGCCTTGTCCCTCTGCACCTCCATGTCTCCACGTTCTATTCACACAGAGGAAGAGGAGCAGAGTTGTTTGTCTCTTGTAATCCCAAGAGAGATCTTCAGTCTCCACGTTCTATTCACACAGAGGAAGAGGAGTAGAGTTGTTTGTCTCTTGTAATCCCAAGAGAGATCTTCAGTGAATTGGCCTTCTTTAAGTTGGTCTACTTCATAGTGGTTGTCCAACTAGGAGGTCCAACATGTTGCTCAGCCCACTTCGGAGTGGTTGTTTGTCCATCCAAGAGGTCCACCATGTTTCTCAGTCTACTTCGGAGTGGTTGTCTATCCATCCAGGAGGTCCACCATGTTGCTCGGCCCACTTTGGAGCGACGCTCGTACGTTGGGCCGAACTCATATGATTGTCTTGCTTCGAAGCAAGTGTTGGTCATAGGGTCGAGGTCCAACCTAGCTCAACCTCAGAGTGAGCATTGCATTAGGCCTAGCACCAAGACTTGATTAATTTTTACCCACTTCATTTGCCCCATAGCTTGCATTCAAATTTATTGAGTGGAAGCTATTGTTGTACATCGGTCCGATTTGTTCAGTGTACTCTAACCTTCGTGCCTATAGATGGATCTCGACCCTCGAATTTACAAGAAAACTAGATATATTTATACGCAAATATATAAGTACATCTCGGCCCACCCAAAAAATCTTTTAGTGGGCCAAGTTTGTATAAAAGTTGCTTGGCTGCCATGCTTTATATTTACCAAATCAAATACTTGATCTTATAAAGTCAAATTAGGTGGGCCCCAATGTCCACTAGGCAACTTATTCGTTTTTTTTTTTCACATGACCATTAACTTATATAAACAATTACCTTGAATGTTCAGTGGGCCCCTTACTTGACTTTTTGTGCATGGCTATGCCTTACAAGAATAGGGTTGTAATCTGATAATGGACTTCAAATTGCATACTGGACATTCTTAGGTTGAAGCTTAGTGGACACTTGGTAGGCCCCGCTTAAGCTCTCTTTTGCATGTAAACACCAGATAATTGTTTTGGTCTTGGTCGGACATACAGTAGGCCATCCATGCAGCTCTTTATTGTTATTACGTGCAAGCAAAAAAGGGTATGGCCAACTATTATTGCTGCCCCGTCTTTTCTGTTCGGTCATATGTCTGCCTTGTCGGTTTACCTGCAGCTTCTCTTTTTTTTATTATTATTTGAGCATCACCTTCAGGTACTGCTCGGTCGGGCTTGTTTGGTTGGTGTTGTTGCTCAGTCAGGCCTATTCTAACACCCGATGGGCCGAACAATTCTTGTTTAATTTATGCATGACCACTACCCAGTTGTCTATTTATTTCGGTCTTCAAGATCTTTTTCTGCGTCGCTTGGTTGGTTTGTACGAAGGTCAACCGAGCAAGTCGTCGGTGGGCTGAGCAATCGTGCACTTCGATTTGGACATGATCAACAAATCAATTTTTTCAGCTCCTCTTCATGCATTGGTCAGTCATCTGTCATGTTTGGCCAGCTTTATTTACGTCTAATGAAGTTGTAGCTTGGCCTATTATTTCATCAGCTTGATCCCATCTCTAGGTACTGCTCGGTCTTTTTATTTTGGTCTTCAAATTCGTGCTCTATGTTGCACGACTGTCTTCAATTCTGCTCGGTTCAATCTTGTTCAGTCGTCTTTGTTGTTAGGTTGGATTGTTGCTCAGCCGTGGGTTTGCCATTGCTCAGCCTTAGAGGAGCATCCCACTAAATTCGCAGCTCGGTCGCTAGCTTAGTTCGTCACCGTCGACAAATGAGTTCGGTTGGTTGCCGTTACTCCGTAGCTTCGTTCACACCAGCTTTCACACTGCTCGGTGATCTCCAGCTTGTGCTCGATTACATCTTTTCAGTGTCACGCTCGGCTGGCCACCACCTTCGTCTTGCCATTGGACTTCAAGCTCGGCACTGACGAACGTGCATACTTGATTGTCGAGCTGCCACGCGTCCATATCTGATTAGTTTGGGGCTGCTAATGTCACGTGAAAGTAAACCATCTCAGAATTTTTTGAAAACAAGCAAACCCATCACTTTCTCACTCTAAACACTTGAATTCCCAGACCCACTTTTCTTATGTCTTTGCTTTCTCACTTTTTGACTTCAAAAACAACAGGACCTATTTTTGGAACAGAGGCTCTGACTTTGTTTTTATCCTTACGCTTTCTTTCCTTAGAACTCTAAAGCAATTTTAAAATATGAGAGCTTGACCTCTAGTCACTCTCTATAAATTCTAGATTCCTTCCCAGAACGTTGAGGACTTGTATCAATGTTGTGGTTTTCTCACACTCTCTCTCTAGAATTTTAGTTTTGAGAGACTGATCTCCTCCATTTCTCACGTTGGTTCAAGCTTCTTCGGTGTCTCGAACAGTGCATTTTCCATGGTGGAGTGACGCTACCGCCGTCTCATCGCCAATGGCCTGCCCATTTTGCTCTCGTTACTCTGTTTCATCATTTCTAATGTGGTAAGCTCTGAAGTTCTTAGTCTCCGGCTGTATCATTAGCCTCTAGCACTGTTTCTTGCGCCTCTATTCCGAAGTTGCTTTTTCATCACAAGTATCTCATCCCTCACAGTGGGTATGCCACTGTCATTTACTGATTCATGTTGTTGACACTGTTTTGTAAGTCCTCAGGCCACTGTTATTTATTTATTTATTTATTTATTTATTCTCTCTTTTTTTTTAATTTAATTTTTTTTTCTCTTTTTTTTTCTCTTTTTTTTTTTAACTCACAATTTTTCTCTTGGTTGCCACAATGGGACTATTTCATCAGAGAGGCTCGCCATCGAGTTACCCTTAATTTTGACACTGTAAGTCATAGAACCCATGTATTTCCTTTCTACCTTCACCATTACTTTTTTGGTTAAGTGTAACATTAAGAGTTGTCTAGCATACGATTGCTCGGTCAGCCATTGTACCTTCAACCTTGCAAGTCATCCTTAGTGTAGTTGTTTGGTGGAACGTCGCACCTCTGATGGGTAAGTTTCAGAACCTAGTGGACACCCCGGCGGGAATGGATGAGTTCCACTGAAGATATAACATTCCCAATGATGTCACGTTGACATTGGCGGCGGTAGACGCGGATCGGTTAAGTACGAGCACCACAATGCCTTTCTCAATTGCCTCCACCGTAGAGGGGGGTGTTAGGTTTCCGTTGAACCTTTTGTTGCGTCGATTCTTTTCTTATTTTGAACTTACACCAATGCAAATATCAATGGACACATTTAGAGTGGTAAACGGTGTCTTGGTCTTGAACGACCTCTTAGACTTGGACTTGGGTATTTGGGATATCTTTCATTGCTACTCCTTGTGTCATAATAAAGGCGGTAAAACCTATTATGTCAAAGTTCGGTTGTTGGACCTCCAACTCGTTATTGAACTTCCTGATAACGACAAGCATTACTCTAATTTCCTTCAAGTTAGAGGTAATTGAGAGTTTGCGGTCGAGGAGGTGGGCCGATCGAAGCGGGTTCCACGAGAGAACGGCCACCCAGGTCATTCTTTATTTTAGTTTCCTTTTGTCCATTCACTTATCACCTGTGATTTATTTATTTATTTTAAGTTTTGTTGTTCGTACTTGCAAGTTCAAAGAAGCTAAAAAGAAGGCCAGAGAAAGAGCATCCGAGGGATATCAAGTTGCACTAAGGTACGAAGATCGGTCGGCCCCGCATTTGCTTAACTATGTGCGAACTTACAGGCATGTCATCCAACGAAAACTCAAAGTAAATGACTTCTCGAGGGACTCACTTGAGATGGAAACCGAAGAGCAAGTTGGCCGTACCACCGGAGCTTCCTCTTCCGCTGTTGTTTGTTCATCAAGTGGATCACTCAGTAAAGGCTACTCTCTATCGCCAGACTTAGCAAACGAAAAGGTTCGTCGCCAAAAGCTCAATCTTGATGCCTTATTCTTTGGATCTAATGATGAGGACCTTCTAGCTATTTCGACGGTCGACACACAAGTTCCTTCTCCACTGATTGAGAGGTCTAAGGGTGGAAAAAAGCATGTTGTTGTTCCTCCTCCTCCCGTTACTACTCTTGCTCTTCCCGCTGATAGGGCTTCAAAGAGGAAGAGGTCCCAAGGGTAAAGAAGTTGCTGGGGGTTCAACTAAGCAAGGCTTGGTTGAAGAATGAGTGCCTCCCTTGGAGCATAACGGCCGAGAAATCA